AACCTTATATTGAGATGTTCTTGTGCATGTGTCAAATGATAAAGTTGACAGAGATCGAGCATGGTAGAGAGTTTTTGTCTGCAAGCACCCTTCTGCAACTGCTTAGTTCTATAATCAGGTGTTTAAACAACATTTTTTGTTATCTGTTTTGTTTTGAATACTCTACATCGCCTAAAGTCTTACAGAAATATGGTTGTATAACTTTTGTAGCAACAAATCAATGGAGTCGATTTTAAGAACAAGGGCAATGATGATTAGTGGAAGAATTCTGTCCAAGGAGAATTACATACTTGCAGATGAATTGAGTAGGTCTTGAAACTTGTATACGATGAATAATATCTACTTTCATCATTCAGAGTATTATAAGGCTGTTGTTTTTACCTTTCATCCTGCATTTAGAAGCCCTGTAGTCTAGTGCCTGCATTATTTCTGGCTCATTTGGTAGCTTTTTTACCTGTATTTCGAGGACTCATATCATGCTTAATTTTAGTGCAGCACTGCTATTGAGGCACTTGTCATCCCATTTTCGGACCCAGAGAAAAAGAAGAAAAGAGTCTTCTTTAGTGGACACCCTTAATTTGTTTTTGGTTTTTGGCTAGCTTGCTTGCATTTATCCAAAGAATCAAAGCTACCTCCAAATCTCCAGTTGCACTTGGCCCCCAATTTTCCTATTAGGTTTGAAAGAGAGCGCTAACATAATACCTTGGACCATGATATGCCACTCAAATCACTGAGTTATCCAGCATGTAGCATTACATATATAGCTTCTGTCGCATGCTATTTATTCTCTTTTGGCGACGGTCTTAAATGATTTCAAAAGGTAGACTTTGAGATTTGTTACTTAAAAAAATATATATAATTGCTTTACCAAAGATCATAAAAATGAAAAAGCGGTCATGAATTGATTTTGATACTAATATTGATTTTGCAGACTTAAAAACTGTATTATCAGCCATAGACAGGATACTTAGTTCATCCGAAACTCAAGAAATAGATGAATGTGAATCTGCACTTGAAGCACTCGGTCAAATAGGGTCATGTAAGTATGCCAGTGCCTTCACTAGGCTTGAGAAATGGTTTTCATAACGTGAAACATATCTACCATCATCATCAAGAAATTAAAACCTGGTTTTTTTGGGATGATCTTAGCAACTCAAGGAGCTCAGCGTTTATTGTCGAGTTCACCACCAGTTGCAAGACATGTTATCTATGCAGCCTTTGATAGACATGGACGTGGTAAACAACTGGTTAGTGAATCTAGTATTTTAGCTTTATGGCTCTAAGTTCTCCAGCCTTTTTTTTAATACAATTTTTTATGTTCCTTATCATGTTTTAATTTGCCAATTTGATTGAATCTGAAGCCTCTCCTGTATCAAAGGGTGTGTGTGTGCGCGCGTGTGCTCTTTAGTAAGTAGCTAACTCTGAACTATAAGATCCAAGATTAAAATGCTGTCAGAGTTCACAGTAAGGATTAGAACACTCATTACCTTGGTCGTGGAAAGAGATATAGTGATATAAGATAATCTTCTTATTTTAACTCCCTATTTTAGGTACTAACTAGTCTCCGTCTTTGTCTATTTGTAAAAAAAAGTACATGCAAGGAATACAGAAATAGGAGTAGAAAAACTAGGCATTGCAAGGACATCATGTTTTGCATGGTCATGGTATACACCTTTCCAAAAGGTAAAGGAAGCTGATGACAAATGAGGAGTATGCTATACTACAATTTCCTATTTTTTGAACTATTGAGTATGCTGTACTACAATGTCCTGCTTCTAAATCCACTAACTGTTGCAGCCAACTAGATACACCTTCCATGCCAAATAACATGGATGGGGTTATGTGATAAATATGGTCTGACAATTAACTTCCACAATGAACTTGTAAATGAAATTTTTTAATAGATCCTGAGCCGTGAGTATTCTTCTCCCAGTAGTAGAAGCTTGTCATCTATAATCAAATTGGGGATAGTTGAGCTTTCGAGGTGTGGGAGTATTTTTAATTTTTTATAAAGAAACTTATTAGGGATTAATAATGCCATAGTCAAAAGTTAATCGATTTGAATAATCAAACAGCTTTTGGTAATCTGAATGCTAGCCGGTCTCTTATGATACGTTTTCTAGAATCTCTGACACTTGTTTGACCGGAGGAGGCTTCTAAGTCAGACACTAATTGCCACATAACTTGTTGACTATGTTCACTTGATATAGTATCCTTATGGGCCTTGTTCCTTTGCCCCTAGGAGCCATCACACCCTTATTTAAATGACTTTTGTGATCCAGCCCATCTTAGTTGCCATATCACGTAAGGGGGATAACAGATTATTGCACGTACCTTCCTTTGGGAGAGAGATTACAATGCCTGCTATAACGTACGTAAACATAGATGATCTTATGTGTTGACCCCACCTAAGAACTACCTTCATGGATCCCAAAGCAACTTTATTCTTTGATTGCATCCATTGGAATATTGGTTTTGCCAATAAAATGATGAATAGTTTGGATTCTGAATATGGGATATAAGATGTTTCCTAGTAATTGACTGACAACTGTGTTTGTGATCTGTCCAAGATTCCAAATACTTGTTGATGATAAAAAAGATAGTATCTGTTGTAGTTTACATTCAAATTCTTACTTAAATGGTTCTTGATGAAAATACAGGCTGCCTTACATGCCCTTGGAAACATTTCTGGGGAAACTCGATCTGCAAACAGCATGATACTGACTAGTGATGCAGAAGAAAGCCTTCGACGCTTGATTTATGAAACAGCATCTAAGAGTTCAAAGCTGACACCATCTGTGAGCAGCTTTTTCCTTCTTAATTTTATTGTTTCATAAACCTCCAAATATTTTGCACGTGGGTGCAGGTTGCCTGCCTGAATTTTCATCCTTTGGCATGAGCCCAACAATTTCTGTAATTTGTTTTTCAGCGTGCTTGTCATTCTTCATTTTAGTCTTTAAAATGTGTTGAAGTTTTACTTAGTTGTTGATGCAATTGGCAGGGTCTTTTCCTATCAGTTCTCAAACAGGATTTGGAAATTCGTTTGGCGGTAAAACTTCTAATAAAATCTTGAATTGTGAATTTTTTGGTGGTGTGACTGTTGAACACTTTTTTGGACCTGTATATAATTGAAAGTTTGGAGTTTATATAACATGCGAATTATTTTCTCCGTTTAGTTTGGTTTTGCCCCTTAGGTGTGTTATATTTTTCCATCTGCAAATATGATACTTGAATAGACTGAATATGTGTTTATTATGGTATTCGTTGCTGTAATTACTAATTGCTTTTGGAAACACGCTTCCTTTTATATTGTGAATCACCTTTGGAAGTGTTTGTTTGTCGGTGACCAAAGCGCTACGCTTTGATCATGTGGTAAAGAACAATGTGTAAAGTAAATTTTAATTGACAGTTTGATGATACTTCTGTAGGCATATAGGAGAAATTAAGATATAAAAATTCATATTGTTACTGCATCTGATACAACATCTGATGCTAATACTTGTAATTGTATATATTTTTGGTATTTGCTATTTATGGTGGTTATTAAGTGTGGATAATTCAGGGATATAGAATGCTGTCTGGATTGGTGGCTCGCCCATGGTGCCTGATGGAGATTTGCTCAAAGCAAGAGATAATAAATATAGTGACTGATCCAATTACTGAAACCACTAAACTAGGTCTGTTTCACTTTTTCTCCGTAATCATTCAATTTATTACGTTGCAAGTTTATAAATATACAGAATTAACTACATGGAATTGGTTTATACTTTTCTTACAATTTATAACAGTTATTCTTTTCATGTGAATGAAAATTACTGTTCAGCTATGGAAGCCAGATATAATTGCTGCAAGGCAATCCACACCGCTTTTAACATGTCAAGTAAACTTGCCGGCGACCAATCTCTTTCTGGGATAGCGGCTCTGGGATAGCGGCAAAGGTTAGTTCTATCGTACATAACCTTCCTTCATTTTTATTTTTCTTAGAGTGGGAGAGTTTTGGGGGATCCTTGATTACATCACGGAATAATTAAAACGGTTGGACCTAAGCGTACACGCTGGTGTACAGATCATTTCTTTAATTTTGTTCGATCCATACACACTAGTCGATAGTCACTCATTTGCCATCAATATGTATTTGTGTGAATTGTCTGGTCTATGTGGTGTGGGTGAGAGTTGAAAACCATTGAAGGGAAAAGTTGTGGGACAAAAAACTGAAAATGTTAACCTATTGGTTAACATAAGAAAATAAAATGTTCTTATCTTTACACCCTCGCCAAGCGGGGAACCTTGTTGGATTGAGGTCACCCTTTTAGGTTGTCTTCACTATTTTTGTCTTAAACAAAGGAATCAATCGTAAACGCTCATGTTACCATCTTACGTATCTTCTCTTGTTCATTCCTTTCTTTGTGCAGTTGCACGACGCTGTTAAAATGGGTCCGTACCTTGCTAGGAAGCACCTTGAAGCTCAGCCGGTGGTGGTGACGGAGGACCGATTCTAGAGTAACACCAGCCACCGTGTTCAGCTTATGAGTTAACTATTCCCATATGTTGCATACAAAAGTTTGTTCAGATTAACAGTGGAAGTATGTTTACCTGTGAATTCAGAACTCAAATACGTAAAGCTAGAGCGGAATTTGGAATTCCATATAGCATCGAAGAGAATTCTCTCAAGTTTCTCAGTTAATTCCAGTTTAAAGGTAGATATATCATTTCTAATGAAACTAGCGCACAACAAAGGATTTAAATTTTGTTTTATCTAGAGAAATATCGATAAATATATCTTTATCATTGGAAATATCCGTTAAACGTATAAAATCATGGAAGCATTCTAATCTAATCGACATAAAATTACGTTTGAAATTTTTACAACTTCAAAATCAGCAAATATTTATAAAATAACAAAATATAAAATTACGAGGGGCAGAAAAGTAATTCCATACTCAACTCCGCCCCAGGCCAAGATAGGAATTTCACATCCGCAGTGGATAAAAATCAGAGGAAGAGGAAGCGCCATCTCTGATTCTCTTCTACACTCTACAGACGGAGCTTCAAACAATTTCAGAAAGCGAGAGAGATGTCAGCTGCAATTCATTGCCTATCTCCATGCCTATCCCTCCCCTCCAGATTCAGCAAGCTTTCACTCAATGGCCCTTCTACTTCCTCTGCCACTACTCATTCCACAACTTCCCTCAGTTTCTCAGCTACCCTTTCTCCCAATTTCTTCTCCAAAGGTAATCAAATCTCTCTCTCTCTCTCTCTCTCTCTCTCTCTCTTGAATTTACTGCGTTTTTCTTCTTGGAATTTTGAAAATTTTGAAAGTTTGCTTATTTCAAATATTGGGTATTGGAACCCAGCAGTAAAAATTTCAGTCGTGTTATTGGGTGGAAGATTTTTCCATTTTTGGTGTAAAATTTTGGTTTTTTTATATCATATCATCCATTTATCAGTAACCATACAGAGCACAATGTTAAATCAAAAGAGAAAAACTACATCTTTCGCTTGACTATTTTCAGGGTATCTGGCTGTGAGTCCACTTCAGAGGCCGGTTCGGCATTCCATTGTTTGTGAGGTCACCACGAAGAAGCCCGACTCTGCTGTGAAGAGAGCTCGACAGGCCGAAAAGAGGAGGATTTACAACAAATCCCGCAAATCCGAAATCAAAACCCGGATGAAGAAGGTACTTCTCTATTCGGCAAGTTAATTTTATTTTAACTGAGGGGTTTTGCTTCTTTTGGTTTGCATTGTATGTAAAATAAGTTTATTCTGATTGTTTTCGGGTTGAAGAAAGTAGTTGTCTTGCATTGTTTGGGTTTTGCTTCTTGTGACCATGTTTGATGCCTTGGATTCTCATCTGAATTGAGCAACCATATCAGTGTCTAAATTGCTCTCATAATCGAGGCTAACCACCAAATTTTGCATTGGGTTTCATTATTTGGTTGGATAAATTATACTGGTTCTAAGTTGAGGACATTTTACTGCAGAAATGGATGGTTCATGGATTGCACTGCAATATTAACAGTTACACCTTTACTTCTCGATCTACATGTTTGTCTTTAAGAGCATCTTTTTATGTGATCGTCAGACAATTGCACGAAGATAAAGTATTGGATTGGTGTTTGGTGTTTGGTGTGGGTACAAGTTGTGCCGGAGAAATTATTTTGTCTCTAAAAGCATCTGTTTGTATGTGCTTATATACTGTAAGGATGCTTGGGCTGATATATATATTTCCACATATTGTATTGGTAGCCACAAACATTTGTGTTTTATCCGGCAGTGTGATGCCATTTTTATCCCAACAGGTTCTGGAAGTGATATCTGTTTCTGTTATTAAATGTGTAGTTTCCTTTAATTTTTTTTCTTTTGGCTGGAAAGTAATGGAGAAGATAAAATTTGAATGACACTGTTGGCGTGTTTACCTGCTATTGATTAATTAGTGGCTACCTTTACCAGGTTTTGGAAGCTCTGGATGGGCTGAAGAAGAAGCCAGATGCTGCACCCGAAGAGGTCCTTTCTATTGAGAAGCTCATTGGAGAGGCATACTCCATCATTGACAAAGCAGTTAAGGTGGGAACTCTGCACAGGAATACTGGAGCACGAAGAAAGTCTCGACTGGCTAGAAGAAAGAAAGCTGTTGAAATCCACCACGGCTGGTACACCCCAACTACAGAGGCTGCTAGTGCCTGATAAAACTCCTTTGTTGGGTCAGTCGTTTACTATTTTGCCGTTGTAATGTGTAGCATTTGTCCTTTGAATGTTTGCACCTCTCCTTTATATGGTACATGATTAACCGTATTCATTTTTCTTCTAGTTCGCCAAATTTGTATACTTACTGACTGTTGTTTAAGTTACTCTCTGGCTCATGAAAAATATGTTTCCCATTGAATGGGAAAATGCTATGGAAGAGTTCAGCTAGAAAGGATGGGTCGGAAGAATGTGATTGTGCAGTGATGCCGATATTTGGCTTGCCGTTTTCTACTAGAGGTTAGCCATGTTCAATAGCCGATATTTGGCTGTCGTCCCTGGTTTCTGCCTCTATCAAGCGACGACAGCCCCCACCTTCCCCTACTACGCTTCCCCAAGAACTGTGCCTCGACCGGTTGGAGAGAACTCGATCGATCTATTTCTGTTTCGTAGGTTTGCCGGTAGCTACCTGAAACTTTACTCATAAATTCCCTCGTCCACAAGAGGTTCAGCTGTATCAACTAATTGGTCAGCAATTTCATAATCTCCCCCAAAAATCCTGCACTTTTTTAAGTACTTCCATAACACATGACCATGCGCTCGCTTCCTACACGTTCAAACAAGATTCAACTCGATTAGTAGTCTACGTCGGACTAACAATATAACATGTCAGACTCTCTACTAAATATATAATTTCCCCAACATATATAAAGTTGCAAATTACGGATTGATTGGTAGGTTTGAAATTTCTGGAAGTAGGAGGCCATGACGATCCTTCTCCTCCTCCTCGTCGGATTTCAGTCAGTGATGATGTGAATTAGTTTCGGTTTCCTTGGAGTTCAAGGAAGGGACTCCATGTCCAGATCCAAAAGCTTTTAAGCCAAAATATTGCCTCCATTTCTGCAAGTATATATTAGTTAGGCACAGTTAATTATGTGTCTGCGTTAACATCTAATTACATATTACATATGGACCCGAGGTAATTACCGGGTGATTCCTTCCAGCTAATTTCCCTGGTTTGTGAAGTAATTAAAATGACCAGGTCTCTTCTACGAAGGCTATATACAGTCACCAATATCTTCGTCCCATACCGGCCACAGCAACAATGGGTTAAGCAAAGAGATTAAATAAATAAGGTTTTACGACTATTGATTAGGCATACCTTTCTCGGCCTTTTGGCTAAGATTAAGTGTAGTATCTGTTCTTATCAGTTTAATATCTGATACGTGGGTCAATGACTCACACGATATTAAATTAATTTTTTTAGGAGGAGAGTTCATCACAGTAGCTTGCTATTGGGGCTCCCGAGTGTCGCCCAAGTGTTGCACTACTGCTCGGGCTGGCGCACCCCACCAAAACTAGTTAAATCTTTTACGATTTTATGCCAATTCTTTCTAACGTGCCAAGCATACTTTAGCCTAATGTAAAACAAGTTCTTCATCAGAATTTCAGATCGTAAATTCAAACCCTTTTGTATATTTTAACGATAAAAATTCATGTTAAGAAACGTTTTAAGATGCCGTCCAATATTGTTGATTAGCATCAATTACCTAATGTCGACAGATTAAGCACGCCTTAAATTCTTGTGTGGGTAGAAAATCACTAGTTCATAACCTTGAGACGAACTCCAAAGATGACGATACCTCACCTTAACGTGCTCCTTAACTCAATTCCGATCCTTCGACAATCACATTTTTGCATTAGAATAAAATGAACAATCCAAGGATTAGAATTCTTGCTAACAAAATAGAATTAGGAAATTCAAATTAATTCAAGCCTTTAAGAACACAATAATTTAATAGTGGTGCTATGCCCAACCCGTTATTTTATTTTTTTTCACCCAGTTTAATATGAAAATTTTGTTGACAAATTTAACCTTATGCAAAATTACCTTGAAGACCTAAACAAAACAAGGTCCTACAAATTATAAAAGTCTAAAAGAGGATTTTTAACGTCACTAGCCAGCACCCACCCAACCATTTTTGTTGGCAAAGAGACCAAAGAACACTTAATGACACCAAAATATATCCAATCGCCCAGGTAAAATTGCATTTGTGCACCAGATTGTTGTAAACTAAACCAAAAACCAATCAAGCAATAAACAAAACACAATGATTTCAAAGTTCCTCCAATATAGTAGTACTTCTGTAACAACGGAAGCTTTATTGATTACCAACAAATACAAGAGAACTCACAAACACAAAGTGCTCTCAAGTATACAAACTTATGCCTCTCAGAAACTCTCACACACAAAACTCTATCCCACATCCATCTATTTATACTAATAGATGTCATAGGTTTACACAAAGTCCCTAGAATATAGGAAACCAAATCCTATACTAAAACCAAATCCCAAACCAACTAGGAATCACAAATCCCAATATCTTGCGTCCAATATATCCTAATCCTTGTTTGATTCTTGTTTTTAGTTTAGGCATGTTGATTTAATGCCAAATCCAACAATCTCCGCATTGGCATGAAATCCATAATGAGACATCAAACAACTTCCGTTGATCCACCATATCGCAAGATCAAACTTGCTTAAATTGCACCAAATCCAAGCAGTGCTCAAACTTAGCTATATTAACCACCTCTGTCAACATGTCAGCTGGATTATCTTCTGTAGCAACCTTTTTTAGACGAATCTCACATTCAGCTACCACTTATCTCACAAAATGATATCGTACATCAATATGCTTAGTCCTAGCATGATGTACATGATATCTGGCCAAATAAATGGCACTTTGGCTATCACAATATACATCCAACTTGTGTTGTTCTACACCTAAATCTCCTAACAACCCCAGAGTCCAGATTGCTTCTTTGATAGCATCAACGATCGCCATGTATTCTGCTTCTGTGGTTGATAGTGCCATTGTTGTTGTAATATTAATCTCCATCATATAGGACCTTTTGCCATAGTAAACACATACCCATTCGTCGATCTTCTCTTGTCTAAGTCTCTAGCAAAGTCTGAGTCCACATATCCAACTGAGAATTTATCAATTCCTTCATCACATCTTTCAAAACAAATACTTTTGTCCCTCGTTCCATGTAAATACCTTAGTATCCACTTAGCAGCATTCCAATGCTCTCTTCCAGGATTATGCATGAATCACTAACAATTCCAGCTACATGTGCAATATTAGAACGAGTACACACCATAGAATACATTAATCCTCCAACCAAATTAGCATATGGAATACCATCCATCTTCATCTTTTCTTCATCAGTTTTTGGACATTATTGACTACTTAACTTGAAGTGAACACCTAATGGAGTTCCTATAGGCTTAGTGTCTTTTGTTACTCCAAACTTTTGTAACAACTTCTCAAGATATTGCTTCTAAGACAAACACACCAAACCTTTTTGTCTATCCCTTGTGGTTTCTATTCCCAATATTTTCTTGGCTTCACCGAGATCCTTCATTTCGAACTCCATTCTCATTTGTTTCTTCAACTTTTCTATCTCTAAAATATTGCTTGAGGCTATTAGCATGTCGTCCACAAAGATTAACAAGTACACGAACGAACCATCTTTCAACTTCTTGTGATAAACACAGTGATCATAGTGACTTCTTGTATAGTCTTGACCCTTCATAAACTTGTCAAATCTTAAATACCACTGTCTGGGCGATTGCTTCAAACCATAAAGAGATTTTCTAGTACCCTTCGGGTTGTCTCATATAAATATCTTCATCCAAATTACCATGAAGGAATGTAGTCTTCACGTCTAGTTTTACCAATTCAAGGTTGAATTGTGCAACTAGGGCAAGCAATATTCAAATGGAGGAGTGCTTAACCACAAGAAAAAAAAATCTCATTGCAATTTATTCCCTCATTTTGAGCATATCCTTTAGCCACTAGCCTAGCTTAAAAATCTTACCAAGCTCTTGTCATCCACTCCATCATTCTTTGCATTAACCCAGCTGTAGCTAATTGCTTTCCTTTCTCTAGGCAGGTCCACCAATTTCCAAGTCTTATCCTTGTGAAGGGAGAGCATTTCATCTTCCATTGCATCATGCCATTTACTCTCTTCTTCATTGTTTACCGTTTCTTCAAAATTAGTGGGAATTTCAGCCTTAATTATCGGCAATGCATATACCATGCAGGCCATGCAATCTTTATATCTCGCAGGTAGGGATATGTCTCTTTTCCCCTTCCTTTTGGCTATGCAATCATCTTGTATCTTTAGTTCTTTTGATGGTGTTTCTTCTTCGTGATCACTCTCTTCATGTTCAAGTTGATCACCTTGTCTTTCTTCTTCCACAACTTCCTTACTTGGCTGTGAATTCATAATTACTTGTTCCCCAAGCTCCATCATCTGATCATCTTCCCTCAATTTCATGTGACTTTCATCGAATGTCGCATCTTTACTTACTATAATCTTGTTCAACTCGGGTCACCAAAGTCTGAAGCTTTTCACACCACTATTGAATCCCATAAAGACAACTTTCTTAGCTCGTGGATCCAGTTTGTTTTCCTTCACACGAAAGTAGGCATTGCATCCAAAAACTCATAGCTTATCCTGAGTTGGTTCTCCAGACCACACTTCAATGGGTGTTCTACCCTCAAATGTTGTTGATGGTAGTAGATTAAGCAAATGACATGCATAGCTCAAAGCTTTTGCCTAAAATCTCTTTGGCATCTTAGCTTGAGATAACATGCAACGAACTTTCTCGGGCAAGTCCTATTTAGTCTCTCTGCAATCCCATTTTGCTGTGGACTATGTCTAACACCGAGTAATTCCTTCCTTTTTACACACTTTGAAGAAATGATTAGAGGTATATTCCCCTCCATTGTCACTTCTTAGTATCTTAATCTTCTTTCCAATCTTGTTCTTTGATTTTAGGCAGTCATTCTTCTAGTGTCCTCTTTCATGACAAAAAGCACACTCATCTTTGTCCAAGAACTTCCTATTCTTTGATACTCATATAGTATGAGACCTATTATTTTTCCTGTACGAACCTTTGTTTTCTTTCGATCTCCCTCTCACCATCAAAGCTTTAGAGTTATTCCTTTCTTGCCTGTCAAGGTGTCTCACCTCATGATTCATAAGAGCACTTGAGATTTCATCATACTTAATTGTCTCCATGCTATAAATCCAAGTAGTCACGAAAGGCTCATAGGATTCAGGTAATGAGTTCATCAGGATCAAGGCCTTGTCTTCATCTTTGATTAACTTTTCGAGATTTGCCAGTTCAGCTAGAAGCTTGTTAAACTATTCTAGATGGCTAATCATCTCCCTCTTTGTACTATAATCTGTACAACTTGCTCTTGAGATGCAGTCAATTCTCTGCACTCTTCTTCATATATTTTGTCTCCAATGCAGTCCACAATTCATTTGCAAAAATTATATTCCTTCGCAATATTTTGTTTCCAATGCAGTCCCATTCTTCCTTTTTCATAAAAAACAACATGTCTCCTAACACACCAACCAAACTTTGTTGTATTAGGACATCTCGAACCTCACATTGCCACATAGCAAAGTTGTTCGTTCCATCAAATTTCTCAATTTCAAACCTAGCACTCTGAACCGTCGTCTTGGTTTCACTAGTCCTAGACTTTTCTTCAACATCGTCACCACTGGTAGAATCACCAGTCTTTGTCATTGCTTGATAGTCACAACCCACGTAAGAACCTAAGCTCTTGATACCACTTGTTGTAAACTAAACCAAAAACCAATCAAGCAATAAACAAAACACAATGATTTCAGAGTTCCTCCAATATAGGAGTACCTCTCTAACAACGAAAGCTTTATTGATTACCAACAAATACAAGAGAACTCACAAACACAAAATGTTCTCAAGTATACAAACTTATGCCTCTCAGAAACTCTCACACACAAAACTCTATCCCACATCCATCTATTTATACTAATAGAAGTCATAGGTTTAAACAAAGTCCCTAGAATATAGGAAACCAAATCCTATACTAAAACCAAATTCCATACTAAAACCAAATCCCAAACCAACAAAGAAACACAAATCCCAATATCTTGCGTCCAAGATATCCTAATCCTTGTTTGCTTCTTGTTTTAGTTTGGGCATGTTGATTTAATGCCAAATCCAACAAAGATTCCTCATGCCCACTATTCTAGACTTGAACTTTCATGCCAATGTCTTTGATTTCGACAATGTAGTCATAAGAGAGCAGCCGGAGGTACGAGACCTTGTGAGGACAAAGACGAGGCCTTATCTCTGTAGTATTGTTGAACCGGTATGGATGCAAGAGAGAATAGGGGAAGACAAATAGAGAGAGCGAGAGACAATAGAGGGAGAATTTCAATCCATCATTGTAGGCCGTTCATGGCCCAGCGCACAACTTAGGAGAGAAGGGGGGTGTTTGTTGTCACCATGACGGGTAGGTGGATATGGATGCTGGCTTCTTTGAGTTCTCCTTCAGTTTTTTGTTTCATATTAAAGAAAAATACGTCAAAGTTACTTTAGGAATCTTGGCGGGTGAGAAAAGAGCATTTTCATTTTTTAACTTTTAGTGACAAGTAAGGTTCTAAAAAACGTTAGACGCTAGTTGGGCGGCGAGCTGGCGCCTAGCGCCTAGGTGGCGTTGGGAAATAGGACTACTGGGTGGCATTAGTAGCACTCCAATATAATTCGACAATCTTATCAGGGTTTTGGTGTGTTTGCTTATGTTATGAGTGAAACAAAAGACTTTGAATGGCACGGTTCCAATGAATTTTGAGTAATTTTTGTTTTTATTTTTAATGATTGTGGAAGTAACATGGGTATTAACAATGGAAGGCACCCTTCGAATAGCATGCAATTTAGCCCCCTTTTGTCAACTTGCAAATCTTTCAGTCCCACACCGGCCACAGCAAGAAAGGGCAAAGAGAAGAGACAAAATAAATAGGGTCTTACAACTCGTTACCAAGCATACCTTTCTCGGCCTTTTGGCTAAGATCAAGTGTAGTATCTGTTCTTATCAGTTTAATATCTGATACGTGGACTAATGGTTCACACGATATTAAATTAATTTTTTTAGGGAGGGAGTCTGCTACGTTAGCTTGCTAATGGGACTCTTGAGTGTCGCCCAAGCGTTGCACTATTGCTCGGGCTGGCGCATCCCACCAAATCTAGTTTCAACCTTTTACGACCTTACGCCTTGTTCAACTTTTAATTCAATTTTCAGTGATTCTACAGATTCTCTGTTTCATACAATTTCAAACCAACTCCTGAAAGTCAAAACCAAAAACTATGTAAGCGTAAGGGGGACCAAATACTTGTAACAGAGGAGGAAGAGATTTGACAAGATGGATTCAACCTCTGAATCTGCTTCCGCTGTCGTGGGGTAAAACTATTTGTGTCGGGTCGGGTGTGGGAGTGCTCCTAACATCATAGAAGTAATGCTGCAGAGGCCCAATGGAGTAAGGGGATTAGGAAGTCTCCGATTCAGTAGGAGAGAGAGGAAAAGCATGGTTTTCATCTCTATAACCGTAAGAATTTCGACAATTTACAGGCTCATGATTTCTCAACAGCAATAACAGTCAGAATTTCAACAATTAATAGCCTTGATCGAATCTTGATTGCTCAATAGAAAAACCATTAACTTATAATTCTAATACATTACATATAGAACTAGAGTTTTGATCATATATAGACAAGAGACAATGCGACTGATGATAGCCAGCGCTTTGTTTAATCTGCACATTGGCAGCGCAGATAGGCAGACTCAAGCCTTTGACTCTTAACAGTCATGTTGACTCAACACTCGATAATGCTAGCAAGTTCCGAAAATCAGACACAACCTTTAAACTGGATAATACTTGTGAATGCAAAAGTAATTTTAACAATATGCTTTTACCCTGTCTCAAGTTATCTTTAATAATTCTCCTTCACGTCTACCCCAGTTCGTTCGTAGTGTTGCACCTGCACGTATGAATTTGGCAACTTTATCATTCATGGTCCCAACAATGCACATAATTCCATCTCCGTTTTCAAGAATTGTTCCACAAAGACACTAATGTCAAGTTCAACCTATAAAGAACACGAGAAAGAACTTCACTGATTATTCAAAAGAGTGCATTCTTTAGTTCAAGTAAACCAAAACTAGAAACAAAGCTTTACCTTGCTCCCTTTTTTCTCAAATTTCTGTACTCAAAGGCCATGTCAAACTGTCATTTTCCTCCGCTTGCTTTTCCACTTGTCCACCCTCCTTTTTTGACTGGACATTCATAGAATCCATCAATATTTCGGTCCTTGGCTCTGGTATCATCCCCTTTGAAGTCATCTCACGGAAATAGCGCAAAGTTTCCTTGATCCTTCTCTTATCATGGAACCCATGAATGATAATGGTATAAGATCGTCGGTCAGGTCCCAACCCATTTTTCTCCATCTCATCCCATGTATATCTCACTCTTTCCTGACAATCCCACTCCATATACAACTTCAACAGCAAATTGTATGTGTCACCAGTCATCTTGCACTGATTTCTCTGCATCCTCTCCAGCAGGCCAGGAATTTCCTCTGGTTTCTTCGACGACTTAAGCAAGTAATTGAAAGTTACTTCGTTGGGCAGACAACTACCCTTCCTCTGTTCCATTTCTTCCAAAAGCTCACAAACCTTCTCCATACGCCGTATTTTGCATAGGTGCTTAATAAGTGAGTTGTATGTTGCTGCATTTGGGCAACATCCTCGGACATTCATTTCCTTAAATACTTCCAAAGCATGAGGAATCCTCTTCTTGAAACAAAGGGCATCGATTATGCAATTGCATGTCACCACGTCTGGGTTGCAACCCTGATCCCACATTGCTTGAAATAACTTGAGTGCCGTACCCAACTTTCCCTTCTTGGTCAGTGCATTTATAAAAGTCCCATACGTAAACTGATCAGGCTTGCAATTAGACGCGATTATATCTTTCCAAAACCTTTTTGCCTCGCATACATTTGCTCGTACACACCATCCATTAAGAATGATATTCCACGTCTTTATATACTTCCCAAACTCTTTCCCCTTCACGTTAAACAAAGTTTCTGCAGCTTCTACATGCTTATACCGGCATAACCACATCATAAGCTTCTGAAAAGCAACCAAATCAAGCTCGAGACCGAACTCTTTTCTCTTATAAAACACATCAATTGCTTCCTCCACCCTATGTGCAGCCGCATACCTATTGAGCAAAATCTCATACGTTCCTTCATTGATAAGTCCCTCTCTCATGCGCATTTCGTCGAGCATTTGGTAGACTTCATCAAAAGCCCGCATTTTGCCAAGAATGTCAAGAATCTCATTGTAACAATCCGACCCGGACATATACCCACTTCCTCCTCCACCTTTACATACCCAATTGAAGAACGCATACGCCGGTTTCCAATCAGACCGATGCCTCCGCAGCACATCCAAAACCAAACAATCTGTCAGCACAAACCCACATCGGTCGAGCGCCCACTCAATCTCCTCGGCCGGCTTGTCCCTTCGAAACTTGAGGATGTTTTGAATTAATACAGCCGTTTGATCATCCGGGTCTTCCCCAAACCGCGCATTTTCTTCAGCATCTGCAACATAGTGGACGAAAGTCCTACTCCTACCCAGAAAGTAAAATTGGGAATTCTTGGTGAAAATTTCTGGCTTTGCGTTCGTTGGGCTCCGGCACTTGTGAAATTTGGAAAGGTAAGAGAGGGCTTTGTGTGAAATCGGATAGTGGCAGTGATGGTTTCTGGGTTGGGTTTGGAATTTTAAATTGAAATTCCGTTGGATGTTGTTTTCCCGGGAAAAGGTTCTCAACGGTCGGAATTTGAAAGGCATGTTAGGTTTTCTAGTGTTGGGCGTGTTTGGGGTGGAAGAAAATCATTTCCAAGATTTAATAAAGCCTTCCATTACATACATATTTTTATTAGTATTTTGTTTACGCATAATTTTTTGTCTCTATTTAATATGAAATAAGATATTGTTATTCCCACCTCAGTTTCATATCTTCCCATTCATTTTTAATGAAATTTTTAATACAACTTTGCCCATTTGTAAAATGACCAATAAGGACACTAAAAGATACATAATTAATGATAATAGATTAGGCACGAAGAGGTAACATGAGCCCTAGACTTGCATTTGGTTGTGAAAGAAACAGACAATACATAAGCCGAATTTGCAAAAAGACAAAGAATAAGGATAGAAGAAATTTTGGAACAACAAAGTGTGGATGCCATTTCCAATTAAAGAGTAAGAAGCTAGCAACTGATGATAGTTACTAGACTGCATAATCAAATAGGAGCATAGCACTTTGAGAGTCATTCATTTGATGGTAAATTATCGTCGATGGGAAAATAGCATTTCAATTTTTTAGGAATAACAGTGGTTGGCGAAATAACATTTCAATTTTTCAACTTTTTATGGTGGGTGATGAAATAGAACACTGAGCTGGCTAGCAACTCTCTAAAATAATGCTCATACCCATATGTAAAATAATGGTCTCTGCAGTCGATCATCACTACTGAGACTGTATCTGAAGCATCTTTGTCTACTCTCTTAGCGCAACGCAATTCCTTGCAGAGCAACTAGACTACTTTCTTAACAGCCCTCCTGAACTGGAGGGTGATCGTGCTAGTCAGCTAGCTTGTCGGGTAAGCCTTTTTACTTCAGTTTTTCGTATCTCAATAAAATCATACTAGTTATATAACTTGTATTGGATTGAATATTTATGGAAAATTGATTTCTGGTCTAACGAAATATGTGATGTGCTCAAGGTTTGTGTTCTTCTCTCGGAGTTGCGGTTTATGATTAGAAAGACACATTTTGCTTCAACAATCTGGGAGGTTTGGGATATTATCCAGATGCGTACATGCGTAAAAAATTTCGGAACCTTTGTGTGCAACATCTTCGTTTTTCAGGTTAGTAATTTGTTCTTAATTTCCTCTCTGTAGAGTAATGTTAAATTTCAGGTTTAAGATTGGACTTGAAATCTCTGGCTTAAAAAACAATTGGACTTGTAATCTGAGCGACGTGTTTTTAGTCTTTTGTTATGTACTCCACAGTCATGTTTACTTCAGGATTGCTGTATAGGGTGACACATGGCTGTATTGCATTCTCCGGATTCTGGCTGCACAAGACAGACACCAGAGCATCTTTATTTATGCCCAAACTTCTTCAACAGCTCACATAGTCCAGCTCCGACGGCTTCTCCCCTTGCCCTCCATGAAAATACCGAAAATTTGAAGGCTTTAAAACCCTAATCTGCATGCGGTTCTTCCACCACAGCAAGCTGACATTGCGTTATAGGCGGCAAATTGTCATGCAAACGTCTTTGAGTTACCTCCACCACAAGAAGCCCGCCCAAGTAAACGAAGGACTGAGTGAACCACCAAAGAGACACTAAAAGCTTTCTCAAAGAATGACATCGTCGCTGACTTAAAAGTCAAAATGTGAAGCCGTGACAACCCACCCAACCGTATTCTAAGATGGGAAAAAGTTAGCAGTGAAATCATTCATAAATTAAAAAGAACAAACGAGGGAGTTCAAAATACATGTTGAAAAATGTAAAATATATATCGAAAACATGTACAATATAGAGTTCGTTCGACTACTAATAGTATTGAATCCTTTTAGATGTTGGACTGTGCATCGATCTCTCTCACATCTTGACATAGTATCAAAACGGATCGATTACTTAAGTTGTTTGTCCGTCGTTCTTAATTATAAGTGAAGAACATTAATACCATTTATTATTTGCTTTTGACAGATATTGCAAATTAAACTCGAAAACTTGATTTATATTAAAGACAAGCCGGTCAGTAGTAGGCTTAAATGTTAGTGAAACATCTATGTCCTATCACTACCTATGTCTATAGTATTGAACAAGCCATTGTTTGAAGTTAGTCTCACCAAATCTATCACAAACCATTTAACTAACTTTTCAACCTCTAGTTAAAAAATACAAACATAAAGCTATAAGGATTACATGCGCATCTTAGATTACATCAGATATTTGAAAACAAATCCTATAAACTAGGAATGGCTTAAAGGATAAGAGTTTGAAGTAAATCAAACTCCTGAAGATGCGGTGATAACAGCTTCACGTTGACTTCATCTAACAGCCCCCCGTAAGCTAATGGGTGGAGGAACAACTGGAAGCTTGGATAATAATAACTTGAATTGAGACGAAGACAAACCCTTGGTAAACAAATCAGCAAGCTGATCCTGTGAACATATATAGTTAACCAATAATTGACCACGAACCACCTTCTCCCATACATAATGGTAATCAACTTCCAAATGCTTAATTCGTGAATGAAATATTGGATTCGAGGCTAAAGCAATCCAAGAGATGTTGTCACACGAGATTTGTGGTCACACAAGATGTAAATGAAGATCCTTGAATAAAGATCTTAACCATGAAAGCTCAGCAGCCGTGCAAGCCAATTGCCTGTACTCGGCTTCAGCACTCGACCAAGAAATTGTTTTCTGCTTCTTAGAACTCTAAGACACCAGATTTGAACCAAGATAGACACAAAAACCACCAGTTGAATGTCGTGCATCTGGATTCCATGCATAATTCGCATCGGAGAAGGTTGAAAGTGTGACAGTTCCTAGCTTGTACAAAAGACCATGATTATGCATGGCCTTCAAGTAACGAAGAATGCATTTCACTGCCAACAAATCAATGGTTGTGGGAGAATGCATATACTGGCACACTTGATTGACCACATATGACAAATCGAGACAAGTAATTGTGAGATATTGTAGAGCACCCATTACACTATGATAGACCTCTGGTTTCTCGAATAGATCACCAACATATGCACAGAGTTTTTGGCATGAGGGAATAAAAGTGGAGATTGGCTTTGCTTATGTAAATTTGGTGTGGGCTAGTAAATCCAACGCATACTTAGATTGACTTAGGTGCATCTGATGACCATCATACTTGTCCTCCACACCTGAAAAATAATTGAGTGGTCCCAAATCTTTCATGGAAAATAAGGTGCTTAGCCTTTGTATCAACCTGGAAATCTGGTGAGAACTATTTCTAATGATTAAGATATCATCCACATAAATTAAAAGTATCAAGTACACACCTTTTTGATTGAATACAAACAGACTGTAGTCACACGTTGATTCATGGAAGCCAAGTTGAAGCAAAAAGTCGGAGAATCTCTAAAACCAGGCTCTAGGTGCTTGTGTAAGACCATAGATACTCCGCTGAAGCTTACAAACATGAGTTAGAAACTGTTTGTCAACAAATCCCAAAGGTTGGCGTATATACACCTCTTCGTTCAAGAAACCATGCAGGAAAACATTTTGGACATCTAGTTGTCTAACCTGCCATCCTTTTGATATTGCAAGACTAAGCACAAACCTAATCGCTGTATGTTTAACAACTGGGCTGAAGGTTTTGGTGTAATACACACCAGCCTTCTGATGAAACCCATTTGCCACAAGCCGAGCCTTATGGCGCTCAATTGTACCATCTGCACGACGCTTTAACTTGAACACCCATTTGTTTGGAAGCAAATTCATCTGTGAAGTGAACGGAACCAAACTCCAAGTCCCACATCGTTACAGCGTATTGAATTTCTGAACCATGGCATTCCTCCATTCCTGGGACTTAACAGCCTGAGTGAAACATGTTAGTTTAACAGAAGAGTTGTCAACAGTAACATGCATAGCATATTTAGGGTTGGGTTTTTGAATTCCAGACTTGGATCTTGTGACCATACAATGCTCTAGATGTGCAGGAGCATCAGACAACTCTAACACAGATTGTATAGGTACTTCGACTTGCTCATTTGAGGGTAGGGTAGGTTGTATGGTAGAGGATGACATAGGTGTTTCAGGATTAGAACATGGTAAGTCAAGGGTAGGGTTTGGGTCAAGTTGTAACTGTGGGGGGTTTGGGGTGATATGGGTGATATTAGTTGGTTGGTTGGCAGGTTGCACGGCAAGTGGAGGAGTAAGTGATTGAGGTAAAGTAGGACAATGAGGCAAATCAAATGTAAATAACAGGTTGGGCGAGTGAGGATTACCTTTGGTATTGACGTTTTCGGAAGAAGATGTGAGTCCCTTAAAAGGGAAAACAATCCTCATCAAATCAGACATGGCAAGACAAGTAAATTCGTCTTGTGGACAAGTCCAAGCATTTGTAGCCTTGATGATTCAGTGAATAGCCCAAGAAAACTCAAGCTTTTGACTTAAATTGAAGTTTATTTTGTGTGTAAGGCAATAACCTGGAAAGCATTGACATCCAAAAATTTTTAACATGTCATACTTTGGTTTTTGTCGAAACAATCTCTCATAAGGTGACACATTGGATAAAATTTTAGTGGGCAACCTATTTATCAAATATGTTGCAGTAGAACATGCATCAAACCAAAATTTATTAGGCATGTGAGATTGGGAAAGCATAACTATGCTTGTTTCAACAATATGTTGATGTTTTCTTTCTGCAATTCCATTTTGTTCATGATGTTTAGGACATGAAAAACGTTGTGAAATTCCATTTGCAGTGAGAAACTTCTGAAAAGCATGACTTTTATACTCTCCACCTTCATCACATTGAAGGGTTTTAATTGAAAGATTAAACATATTCTCAACAGAAGCCTTGAATTTAACAAAGATTTCAAATACTTCACTTTTGTGTTTCATGGGAAAAATCCAAGAGTAACGCGAATAATCATCCACAAACAACACATAATAACGAAAACCTTCATTAGAAATAATTGGGGAAGACCACACATTCGAATGCAAAAGCTGCAAAGGAAATTGAGAAACAGACTGAGACACTTTGAAAGGTAACCTAGTACTCTTTCCTACGGGACATGACTCACAAAAGCTTACATCAGTGGTACCATGAATTGGCACCAATTTATTTCAAATTAAAAACTTAATTATTGAATTGGTAGGACGTCCAAGCCGAGAA